TATCTCTTCTTGTTCCCTGTATTCTCTCTATCAACATGTGATATAAGTGAAACAGTTCTGTTGTTCAGATATTCCCTTGTGTCGCTTTTCTTTGGAATTGCATCAAAAGCTGCTCTCTTCCAGTCAGTATTGCTTTTCCAAATCTTGTTACAGACTTTGTGTAATAGTTGTGTGCCTTCTTTTCTGGTTGCTTTTATCAATTCAGCTGGTATATTATCCACTTCTAGTGATTTCCTTTTCTTAACTGCATTAACAAGCTTAGATATAAAAATCTTTGGTACTCTTTAAAGTTCAGTTCTTTTTGTCTGATGTCATTTTGCTTATATAAACTTTTACAATATTCTTTTGAAAATGCTTCTCCTTCTGTTCAGACTGTTCCATTTTTAATTACATTTTATCTTGGTGAAAACCTTTTCAATAGGATCTTTTACAACTCCAAATTAGTCATTAAACTTATTGTTCATACTATTTTATTTAAACTCTGTGCATTTTTCATTAATAAAAATCTGCCTATCTTTCCTAGTTTATTTTTAGATTCTTTTATTCAGGTGTTTAATCTTTTCTCTCTCTTTCTTCAACAGAGTAAACAGCTGTCCCTTTGAGCTTCTAGTCCACCATTCTTTAGATTTTTTGGCTTTTCATTTATTGTATGTATTTTGTTTTTTCAGTTTCTGTGATTGCTGCATTCATGTTTGTCCATAACTCTTCCAGTGTTTATGTTTTCATCATATTCCAGAAGCTCTTGAAAACATTTTTTTTAACCTACAGATTACAAATATACTGATCAGTTTCTGTATATATTTTAATGATATGAAGCTTAAGTTTGATATGGTTACTAGTTGTTACTAACAGCTCTTGTATGGGTAAGTTTTGTTTAATCTAATATTTATTCTCCATCTATCAAAGCCTGCTGTAATAAATTTGGTTTTTAGTCTGTCCATCAAGTGAAGTCCAAGTATGCACAGAGAAATCAGTAAGCCATTCACTAGCTTAGTTTTGTGTGCCAAGACCATCTGAAACAAATACTCTTTGATTCTTCCAGTTCTAACTTTTGCATTAAAATCACTCATCACAATTGCAATATCTGTCTTCAAAGTTTTATTGATCATTTCTTGTAGCTTATCAAGGAAAGCATCAACAGTATTGTCATTTGCTCTTGTTGTGAATGTACATGCTTGTATAATCTTGGTTGTGCTTGTATGTGTATCAGTATGATTGGGTCATTGACCATGTTTTATACTAACACTGCTATGCTGTTTTGTTTACTAATATTACTTCCATTCCATTCATTCTATATCAATCTTGGTGAGAATAATATACAATGTGCCAATCTTTCAAAGTAAAATGAACCTCTTCCTATCCTCCTCATTTCTGAAATTCTAGTTATATTTAACTGGATTGATCCAACTCTCTCTCTCAACAGGTAATCATCATTATCATTCTTGTGTCAACATGAAGCTCTTTATGGTATAAATCATTGTTTTCTGGTAATATTAGTTGAAAATTAACAATAAAGTTATTTATTAAATAAGCCAATATACATATAATGTTAATTTTATAAATTAAATTAAAATGTTTAAAACTAACTTTGGTGCTTTTTTGTTTATTACACTAATTAAGTATTATTTTCTTCATTACAATCCATGGTAAAACTGATATCAAGTAAGACAAGTGAAATTTAAAAAATGATTGTGGTGAATATTTTTAGAAATACTTTAAAAATAACTAATTATCCAATATGTTTTAGTGTTAGAATTAACTCAACTATTTAATAATAATATGTCTAATGTAAGTGAAATAAATAGAACTAGGGTTACTAACTATTTAGAAATGTACTACCTTTTGGTAGGC